TGCTGGGAGGAGTTCGGTCACCCTTCTCTCTCTCTCTCTCTCTTCTCGATTCTCTCTCCGATTTCGATCATAGCTAGTTTCTCTCTTGGCTTCTAGATTCTCCCTTCTTGATTCCGATCTCTCCTGTTTCTTATCCCTCTACCCTGTGGGTGGCTAGTCCTATTTATAGGCAAAGGCCCTGGGCCTCTTCCCAAATATTGAGCGGGAAGGGCGCCAACAATTGGCCACTTTGAAGGGGAACATCTGGTACACTTATCCTGACTAAAGTTGGTCCTCGCCTGCCAAAGGCTCTGGTGGTGACGCTGGCTTGGGCTCCACAATGACTTCCTCCCTGCCGTTGGACTGGTCTTGGTCTCATTGCACCAAAACGGATGCCCTTGCTTGATGCTCTCGCCTGCGCTTGCTCCCTTTGCACCAAAGAGGAAAGGAGGACACTGCGCGGGCTGGCGCCCGCCTGGCACCCTTGGTCGTCATGGCTTGCGTCACGGGCACCTCGTGAGGTACCCTGCCTTGATCTCTCTGCCTCCTCGCGAGCCAGCCTGACGAGGCCGTGCCTGAGGAAGCTCCGTGTCGTCCGCCCCGCGAGGCTTGGCCCCTCGCGAGGGTCTTGGGTCTGTGTTGATGAAGATGGGCCGTGCTGGGCCCCTCCTCGAGCCACGCCGCAGGCCGCAGGCAGGCAAGTCTGGGGACCCCCATTCCCAGAACGCCAACACCCTCGGGTACTGCGATATGAAGCGCTGGGTCAAGGCTCGGGTGAACGATAAGTCTCCTAGTGAGCTTCCTAACAATTTTTTTGCAGTTCCTAAGCAACCACTAAGCCAAGACGGGCACGAGGAAACAAGTGCCTCGTGAAGAAGAGGCTGCCCCGAACGCGCCAGGCTAAGTTATCTCCGCACAAAATAATGACACAACACAGAAATAACAAGCATAGTGTAATGATTGAGGAATCATAGTTCGATACACGCCCCTCCAGGCCCATACTGGTTTCATTTTGATGCAGGAAAGAAAAGAGGAATAAAACAAAAGCGGAGTTGCAGCGAACCACGGGGGCAGGCCTCCAGCGATGTCCCGGGCTTAGCCGGATCCCTCCTTGCGCTTCACGGAGGCGCACCGATGAGACGACCCGCTACCCCCTTCGAAGCGAGCGCGACGGTGGGTCGTAGCCGCCACTGCTGGAGCTTTCGCCAAGAGAAGAGCCATCGTAGCTGGACGAGGCGCGGCCGGTGGGCTCGCCCTCGTCGTGGCCATCGCTGAGACCTAGCACCTCCTCGCCGTCGTTCGTCTCGGGGCAGCACCTGGCGCGGCGACCATCTTTCCCAAACACCCTCACGTAGAGGGTCGCATCACCGTCATACTTGAAATGGAGGGTGCACCGCCTGTCCAGGCCGCGCGCGGGCGAACGTCTGCCAACCGTGGGTCAGAACTATGTTGCCCGCGGCGGAGACTTCAACCATGACCCAGGAAGCCCTGCTGCAGCCAGAGCCCGCCTAGACCAGAGGCCGGCAGCTCGTCGACGAAGAAGCGCGGAAGCTGAAGCCAGTTGTCGGCCGGATCCTTCGACCAGACAACGAACTTCGGCAGCACCTCTGCCGAGTGGAAGCGTGGCCGGGGAGGCCGCGCAACCACGACACGTCTCACCTCATCGACGGGGCTGCCACGACCGGAGAGACCCCCACCACGCACAGCGGCACCATCCTGGGAGCGGGGGGCCACGGCGGGAGTCGTGGTGTGCTTGCGGGGACGGCTGCGTCCCCGCTTGGGCGCCGGGGAGCCAGGCCCCTCGCGAGGGGCCTTTCCTTTCTCCACGGTGGAGAACCTCTTCGACGGCGCCATTGGAGTCGGTGGTGGAGCAGAGGAGGAAGAAGTAGGCGGAATGGGAAGAAGTGGGGGACGGGGGCTCTACCCCCTTCCTCATTTATAGCAAGAGAAGGCCAACCAGCGCCCCCCACGATCACAGGTAATGATGGTTTTCCTTGCATGTCGCAGGGACTTGTCAAGTCGGGCAATTGCCGAGGCAGCATGGGGAAGCGGAGACGCAAACGACCAATCAACCGCCACGCATCAACCAAGGCTGCAGGCTTTTGGGGCCCCGGTGCTACGCGCTTGACCTTTGGCTTCGCCTTGAAGCCAAGCCCGAGCGCACCTTGGGACCGGGGGCTACTGTCGGCGTTCTGAGAACGGGAGTCCCCAGACTTGCCTGCCTGCGACCCACGGCGTGGCTGAGCTAGCAGGCCCATACGGCCCATCTTTATCAATAAGGCATTCAAGACCCTCGTGAGGGGCCAAGCCTCACGAGGCGGATGACGCAAGACCTCCTCAGGAGCGGCCTCGCCAGGAAGGCTCACGAGGGGCGGAGAGATCAAGGCAAGGCAAACCTCGCGAGGTTCTTGTGACGTGAGCCATGACGATCGAGACCAGGCGGGCGCCAGCACGCACAGCGTCCTTGTTTCCTCTTTGGTGCTAAGGGGGCAAGCGCAGGCGCGGAGTATCGAGGCATCAAGCAAAGGTTTCCATATCGGTGCAACGAGACCAAGACCAGCAGGACGGCAAGATGAAGGTCACCATAGAGCCGAAGACGGCGTCATCACCAGAGCCTTTTGCAGGCGAAGACCACTTTTGTCAGGATAAGCTGTACTAGTTGTCCCCTTTCAAATTGGCCGTTGTTGGCTCCCTTCCCGCTCAATATTTGGGGAGAGGACCAGGGCCTATATAAGTAGAACTAGCCACCACAGCAGAGGAGACTGACGGGGGACGGATTGAGAGAGAACTGAGAGAGAAAGAGAGAAAGGATCATCAAGATCATCTTACCCACACAAGTTCCCCAAGCACAAGAACACCTCAACCTCAGGAGGTTGTTCTTCCTCTTGTATTGTTCATCATCAGCCCAAGAGGCAATCCACCACCACACTGGAGTAGGGTATTATACCGCGCCTCGAAACGTGGAACGGCGGGATAGGAAACGGTTCGAAAAACCGGGCGAGCATGACGTCACGTTATAAAAGTTGTCATCAGATTGGACTCATGGAATATTATATTCTCTTTGTGGTTGTGAGTGGTGTGTGTTACAGGTCTGGACACGTTGATACGTCCGAAGACTATTTGGGAATTCGGAAGGAGGAACCCGCCTTGCAATGCCGAAGACAGGCCTACACGCCGGATACCTTGTCATTGAAGCCAGGTTCAGGGGCTACTGAGGGAGTCCTGGATTAAGGGGTCCTCGGGCGTCCGGCCTGTTAGCCATGGGCCGGACTGATGGGCTGTGAAGATACAAAGACCGGAGACCGCACCCGTGTCCGGATGGGACTCTCCTTGCCAAGTGGAAGGCAAGCTTGGAAACTAAATATGTAGATTCATTTCTTTGTAACCGACCTTGTGTAACCCTAGATCCTCCCGGTGTCTATATAAACCGGAGGACTTAGTCCGGAGAGAGGGACATTATCATAACCATACAAGCTAGACCTCTAGGGTTTAGCCATTACGATCTCATGGTAGATCAACTCTTATAATACTCATATTCATTAAGATCAATCAAGCAGGACGTAGGGTATTACCTCCATAGAGAGGGCCCGAACCTGGGTAAAACATTGTGCCCACTGTCTCCTGTTAGCATCGACCTTAAACGCACAGTTCCGGACCCCCTACCCGAGATCCGCCGGTTTTGACACCGACAGCGGATGCGAAGCGGACTAGATTTGGATTTGGGTCGGCGCGTTGGGCTTCCTCTTTTGTTTACGCCGACCCAAACGGACGGCGGCGGACGAAATGGGTCGCCCCATTGGAGTTGCTCTAATGATACTCCCTCCATCCGGAAATACTTGTCCTAAAAATAGATAAAATGAATGTATCTATAACTACAAAAATTCTAGATATAACCATTTTAAGGACAAATATTTCCGGACGGAGGGAGTACTAGCTAAACATTTCATATACATTTAAGCTGGAGCTCTTGGACTCTAGTTTTTCTGGAGTTACTGAAAGCAAAATAAGCGTACATTTACACCATTGCGAGTGGAAAAGGGTTAAAAACACAAAGCTCCGATCTGAATCCCTGGATATATAGACGCCCGAATAGACCTGCCTCTCTCGAGGGTTTGATTCCGTAGTGCAAGTGTCGGCAGGTTGAAGGCAATGCAAGAATCTGAGACATTGAACGATGCACCGACAGTACAAGAAATTTGACTCGGTGCACATGCCAGTGCTCGGCAGGATTAAATTCACAGCACATGGCATGATGGCAACATGCACTGAGGCACTTCAGCCGCACTACGCTAGTCCTACACTTAATTAGCAGATCTCAGGCCCTCTTGAGCAATTGAAAACACTGGAAAACTGGCACTAGCGGCCGTAACAGCGGTGTTTCCTCCATTCCAGCAGGTAGATCTGGGGGAAGCGCAGATGCTCTGCACAGTAATCAATTTTTTTTTTGTTTCTTTGCGTTGCAGGGACCTAGTAATTTAATTACACGATTCGTCTGGTTCCAAGCACCTACCAATGGAATCAAGGCGCGAAAGCACCGAACTGGGGTCCAGCTCCGTGCGAAAGCAACCGTAGACTCACTTAAATTTACCCAAGCAGTGATGGCACCAGATCCCGGGTCCAACATCCCATCATAAATTAGGCGCGAGGAGGAGTAAATAAGTTACTACTAGCTGCTGCTCGATCGCCACATCTCTACGGCACCAATTAACTCGATGCAATGCTTAGTACAAAGATGATGATACAATAGACAGCCGAATACAATTTTGTTGATACTGGTAGTAGCACTGTCTGCTAAGAACTATCGTATTTTCACACGCCCGGCACAAAAATGTCATGTTTCCTGTATTTATTTGCCTTCCTAACACAAATTAAGGCAAGAAATGAACAGATTTTGCATCATCAAACATGTAAGGATCGGATCACATTTTGGGGAACCTGCTACGCCGGACTGAGAGAACCAACCAAATTGGGCGTGCTGTTGGTGTTGTTGGATCGGATCGGATGAGATGAGATGAGCGGCTCTATGATGACTGGGTCTCGGTCTTGCGCTCGCCGCCGTGAGAGTCGCGCTCCTGCAGCAGCGAGCCGGCCTCCTCGTCCGCCTGCGCCACCTTCTTCTGCGCCTCCTTGGCCTTGAGCGCCTGCAGCTTCACGTGGTTGTAGTAGCCCACGCCCAGGAAGGCGATCCCGTAGCCGAAGAGGTTGATCGGGGTCACCGTGTCCCGGATCACGGACCAGGAGAAGGCGATGAGCAGCCAGTCCTTGACCACGCCGGCCACGTTCATGGTGAGCGCCGACGTCTTGCCCACGAGCAGGAAGACGGCCAGGTTGAGCGCGAAGGCGCAGAGGGAGTTGGTGCCGAAGACGAAGAAGTCGGGCTCGAACATGCCCACGGCGCGCAGCCTGGGCAGCTCGACGAAGACCCAGGGCAGGAAGAGGAACCCCAGGCAGCAGGGCGCGACGTAGTAGAGCGAGGTGATGGGGTTGAGCGAGATCCCCTTGGAGGTGAGGAGGATCTGGATGAGGACAAGCCTGGTGGCCTCGAAGGCGACGGCGGCGAGCTGGAGCGCGACGCCGCGGAGGTCGAAGCGGGCCTCGCCGTAGGCGGCGATGGCGACGCCGAAGGAGATGGAGAGCATGTTGAGCATGGCGGAGGAGCGGAAGGTCTCCTTCTTGAAGAGCACCCCGATGGAGTAGACGGCGACGGGCATGAGCGCCTTGAGCATCTGGATGAAGGAGACGGAGAGGTAGATGTAGGCGGAGTTGGAGAACCAGAGGGAGAGCGAGTAGAGCGCGCCGATGGGGAGGACGGAGCTGGTGTAGAGCTGCGTGGTCATGGCGGGTGAGGACGGGAGGTCGACGACCCGGAAGACGCGGACGAGCGCGACGGCGAGGGAGGAGCAGAAGGCCATGTGCACCATGGTGAGCGAGATGGGGAAGGGCCAGTTGTACATCTTGGGGTCGAGGATGTACTTGTTGTAGACGATGACGGTGAAGGAGAGGAAGATCCACACCGCGACGTAGCAGTAGGAGACGAGCACCTTGCGGAGCACCGACTCCGACATGGCCCCCTCGCCGCCGGCCTCCTTGGCCATAGCTGCTGCTCCGGCCGGGCGGCGGGCGGATCTGGGCCTGCGCGGCGCGCGGTCGCTCGCCTGCGTGGGGGATCTGGGGGCGGGGAGGGTGGGCGGATCTGGGAGGAGGATGAGGAATTGAGGAGGAGGCTGGTAGTTGGGGGATTTTGGAGAGGAGGACGGGTGTGGGTGTGGATGTGGGTTTCTTGGCACGGAGAGGAGGGAGTGGCCCGGCTCCCGTCACCTGTGTGTTGTGTCACACGCTCGGGGTCCGGCTTACCGCGGATGGCCACGTGGAGAATGGGGTGCTCCGAGGCTCGGTGTGGCGTGTTTTATAGGGGTGCGGTGCGGATGTGGCTTTGACCTCTTTTTCGGCCGCATGGCTCGCTTCGTTTCGGGCTGGTCCGCTACGTGCGGTCTACGAGCAACGGGATGGGTTCCCTCTTATCGTGTGGAAATGCCACAATATATCCGTACATTTCCACGGGAAATTCCTTCACTTACGATCACGACCAGTGCCTAATCCTTCACTTGCAATCACGACCAGTGCCTAATTTTCTCGACAAGTCCTTGAGTTACGGAGCCTTTTTACATATTCTAATTGGGAAATGTTAACTAGCTGACCACGGTTTTTTCGTGTTTCCCAGCGGACGCACTTACCGCCGTCGGATCTGGTTGCACGGATCTCAGTGCATCTACTGTTGCCACGTCTTCTTAGGGGCGAACGAGCTCATCTCCATTTTCCATCACAGTCCACTCACTCATCTCCTCTGCCTCATTTCTTTTCCCATCACACAGTCAAAGAGAAGCGACAACGGGATTCCGGTCAGATCAGGGCAGGGCAAAGCGGGGAGCGGTTGCGAGGTGCTCTTGTGGAGCTCCGGTGCAACTCGTGGGCACAGAGGAGAGCGGGCTTGCGAATGAGGCCGCCTCCATCAGCACTCTCTTCACCGACTCCGAGGCCATGAGTTGTGGTGCGGGGAGGACATGCTCGTGTGCTTCTGGTGTGGGGGCTCGTTGTGCGATGCCGGCAGGGGCGAGGGGCAACGTCAGTCGGCGTCGTGGTGCTGCTTCTGATGGCAATGCTCATAGAGGAGGTCCGGTGGACAAGAGGTGCCATCATCACCTTTTGCTCCCTATCTTCTTCGTTGTTCCATCATCGTGATATGTTTTTGTGGATAATTTGTCTGAGAAAGAATGTAGCTAGTTTGCATGATATGTTTAGGGATGGCGCCCACCGGGTTTTGGTACGGGTGAAACCACTCATACCCTTTCCCGTTGAGGGGGTCCTTGGGTGTCCGGGCTACTGGATGTTGGCCGGACTGATGGGTCGTGAAGATACAAAGCAGGAGGCTTTTCCCCGTGTCCGGGTAGGACTCTCCTATGCGTGGATAGCAAGATTGGTATCCGAATATGTAATTTCCTTCTTCCACGAACCGACTCTGTGCAATCCTAGGCCCCTCCGGTGTGTATATAAATCAGAGGGTTTAGTCTAGAGGCCATCAGAATTCATACAAGCTAGACATCTAGGGTTTAGCCATTGCGATCTCAAGGTAGATCAACTCTTGTAACCCCTATACTCATCAAATACAATCAAGCAGGACGTAGGGTTTTACCTCCATTAAGAGGGCCCGAACCTGGGTAAAACATCATGTTCCCTGTGTCCCTTGTTATCTTCGATTCTCAGACGCACAGTTCGGGACCCCCTACCCGAGATCGGCCGGTTTGACACCGACATTGGTGCTTTCATTGAGAGTTCCTTTGTGTTGTCGATAGAAGGATCAATGTTTCGCCTTGTCATTAATGACGATATTACTTCTGGAAGGAACCTAACTCCAGGACAGGTCCTCCAGCTCGGCAGTTTTACCATGGGCGCTCGCTCGGCCGTTAAGCCAACGGCGGACCCCACAATCGCCAAACATCGTCTCCGCATTAGCCTCGAACACTCCGGAAAGATGGATCCGGCAGATGTCTCGTCCTTGAACGAGCTGCTAGATCACATCGCCGCCCTGGGGGTCGCAACAGACTATGATCGGATTGGGCTTAAACCCGATCAGAGGGAGATCAAGTCCCCACCGATCACCCATCTAGTAGCGGTCGTTAAGGAACATGCCGAGAATGCCTCTTCCCATAAGTTAAGAACCAGCTATGTTCGGCTTATCGAGCCCTGCGAGCCGGATACCCATCCTTGAGAATCATGTCCTCTGAACATAGGATCACGCAATGAGCCCGGAAGTCACCAGGACCTTCCTGATCCAGAACTGGTGACCTCAGAGATTCTTCAAGCTCCGGAACCAATCGTGGGTCAGGATTCGGATTTTAGCCCACCCACCCACCACAATCAATATTCCCCAAGTAATTCAGGCCCTCCAGATATACGTGACCTACTGTATGTATGGCAGGAACCTCAGGAAATGGTCCATCACTTCTGGGCCAGATTCCTCCTTGTTAAAAACAAGATTAAAGATTGCTGCGACGACGACGCGGTTTCAGTTTTTGGCCGTAACTGTACGGACGAGGGAATTCTCAGTGCCCTCAACCATGGCCGCATACAACACTTTACAGAATTGGCATACATAGTACAGAAGTAATGCATGATGGAAAGTGCATGGAAAGCCCAGACAGCCCGGTGGGAACCCCCCGCCTTTAAGCAGCCCACCGGACGGGAAAATGGACGCACCCTTACAAGGCATCCGATCACAAGCCAATTGACAAGAAAAACAAGCCCTTCACGGGATATAGAACCTTCCTTGAAGAACTGCTCGACAAGCCATGTCAGATACATACGACGTTGAGCACCGAACCAACGCATAGCCTTCGGACATGTTGGGTACTCCGGCAAGTGGCTAAGAGCGGTGAGCCCATCCTCACCAGTACTACTCCAGAGAAGCATTCTTTAGAGGATGATGATTTCAATGTCTTTACGGTCTTTGATACCTTCTCTTCAAATAATCTGCGCAAACGGGCGCTCCGCGACCTCGCCGACGTCAACCAAGTAACCTCAATAAACCCATGGAGCAATACGGCCATAACTTTCGCTACCGCCGTTGAACCAAGGACAAGATCTATCTGAGCACCAGTCGCATTGGTTTTAAACCCAATTGTTGACGGCGTTCGACTCACCAAAGTGCTCTGATACGTCTCCAACGTATCTATAATTTTTGATTGCTCTATGCTATATTATCTTCTGTTTTGGACATTATTGGGATTTATTATTCACTTTTATATTATTTTTGGCACTAACCTATTAACTGGAGGCCCAGCCCAGAATTGCTATTTTTTTGCCTATTTTCGGAGTTTCGCAGAAAAAGAATATCAAACGGAGTCCAAACGGAATGAAACCTTCGGGAACGTGATTTTCGGAACGAACATGATCCAGGAGACTTGGACCCTACGTCAAGCAAGCAACAGGGAAGCCACGAGGTAGGGGGCGCGCCTACCCCCCCCCCCTAGGCGCACCCTCCACCCTCGTGGGCCCCCTGTTGCTCCACCGACGTACTCCTTCCTCCTATAAATACCTATGTACCCCCAAACGATCAGAGACGGAGCCAAAACCCTAATTCCATCGCCGTAACTTTCTGTATCCACGAGATCCCATCTTGGGGCCTGTTCCGAAGCTCCGCCGGAGGGGGCATCGATTACGGAGGGCTTCTACATCAACACCATAGCCCCTCCGATGGTGTGTGAGTAGTTTACCTCAGACCTTCGGGTCCATAGTTATTAGCTAGATGGCTTCTTCTCTCTTTTTGGATCGCAATACAATGTTCTCCTCCTCTCTCATGGAGATCTATTCGATGTAATCTTCTTTTTGCGGTGTGTTTGTTGAGACCAATGAATTGTGGGTTTATGATCAAGTTTATCTATGAACAATATTTGGATCTTCTGAATTCTTTGATGTATGATTGGTTATCTTTGCAAGTCTCTTTGAATTATCAGTTTGGTTTGGCCTACTAGATTGATATTTCTTGCAATGGGAGAAGTGCTTAGCTTTGGGTTCAATCTTGCGGTGTCCTTTCCCAGTGACAGTAAGGGCAGCCAGGCACGTATTGTATTGTTGCCATCGAGGATAACAAGATGGTTTTTTTTATCATATTGCATGAATTTACCCCTCTACATCATGTCATCTTGCTTAAAGCGTTACTCTGTTCTTATGAACTTAATACTCTAGATGCATGCTGGATAGCGGTCAATGTGTGGAGTAATAGTAGTAGATGCAGGCAGGAGTCGGTCTACTTGTCTCGGACGTGATGCCTATATACATGATCATACCTAGATATTCTCATAACTATGCTCAATTCTGTCAATTGCTCAACAGTAATTTGTTCACCCACCGTAAAATACTTATGCTCTTGAGAGAATCCACTAGTGAAACCTATGGCCCCCGGGTCTATCTTCCATCATATTAATCTTCCAACACTTAGTTATTTTCATTGCCTTTTATTTTACTTTGCATCTTTATCATAAAAATACCAAAAAATATTATCCTATCATATCTATCAGATTTCACTCTCGTAAGTGACCGTGTAGGGATTGACAACCCCTTGTCGCGTTGGTTGCGAGGATTTATTTGTTTTGTGTAGGTGCGAGGGACTCGCGCGTAGCCTCCTACTGGATTGATACCTTGGTTCTCAAAAACTGAGGAAAATACTTACGCTAGTTTGCTGCATCACCCTTTCCTCTTCAAGGGAAAACCAACACAGTGCTCAAGAGGTAGCAAGAAGGATTTCTGGCGCCGTTGCCGGGGAGGTCTACGCAAAAGTCAACATACCAAGTACCCATCACAAACCCTTATCTCCCGCATTACAGTATTTGCCATTTGCCTCTCGTTTTCCTCTCCCCCAGTTCACCCTTGCCGTTTTATTCGCCCTCTCTTTTCCGTGCGCCTCTTTTCCGTTTGCTTGTCGTTATGTCTGAAATTGGGGAAACTATTGTCAATATAGACAATAGTAATAACATGGAAAATTCTGATGCTCCTGCTGAAGAACCCCCTATCTTACATAAAAATGTCTGAATTGGTAGTG